TTTTTTTTTTTTTTTTTTTCCATCTCCATATCTCGCATTGTCGCGGTGACCGAATATGATTTTAAATCAAAATACCTTTCTGAAATCCATTGAAAATTTTGCCACATTTCACCGCGACACTTCGTTCGAATTAACGCGATTTATTTAAAATATTTATAAAAAAAAAAAAATCATTATACAAAACCCGTGTACGCGCGCAAAATATTTTCCGAATTAATAATCTCGGCTGCGTTCGTCGTTCGCGCAAAACTGTATGTGTTGCGTATCGTATGACTCAAACAAATTTATGTAACACACACACACACACACACCCAAGCTGTTTCAAATAAACTTTTACGCGCGCGCTCTTCTTCTTCTTCTTCTTCTCTATATTGCAAGTACTTAGAGAGTAATCTGAGTTCTTTAAAAGTGTATCTTCATCGTCCTCACATCTCTTCTCTTCTCGTCTAATGACGTAATCTCTTTATCGCCGTTTGAAGAAGTGCTTCACTGTTTACTTTGATAAACAAGATAGGCCAGCGCTCGGGGATCTTCCCGGAAATTCCTCCGGGAGGCTCGGTAGGCTAATCTCGTAAGGCAAGCTTGGTTTAAGGATGTCACAATTATCTCAATTGCGGCGGAACTCAGCGGCTGAATTCCGCCGAGTTTGAGGTCCTCGTCGCGTTGAGGAAAATACCGCGAGTAATTTTAAAATCGTTTAATTATCTTAATTATATATTTTTAAAGCATTTTGTGTATTTATAATAACGTCGCGCGTCAAGCCGCGTACTAATTCGATTTCCTCATCGTGTGAATGTGTGTAAGGATCGTGTATCCTGTTTAAAGGGATGAAAGGCGCGGGATGAAATCTGCAAGCGCGGAGAATTAGTATCGCGCGCGACGACGACGAAATTACCGTTCTGCAAAAGACACGTTTCAAATTTGGAATAAAACATGTGTTGATGACTACCTCGGCGCACTTCGGAGTGTGGAACTCTCTCTCTCTCTCTCTCCGCGCGCTTTGGAGGTTGGAGTGCGCGGAGCTTGGAGAGGAAAACGTGTGCACGAGTGGCACTCGAGAAAGTCGCCGGAGCCCCAACATGGTCTTTGTGCCTCGCCTTGTCGGTCCACGGGGTTTCCAACGAGACCAATTTCTCTTTCACCGGTTCTCTTTATCCAGGAAGGAAAAAAAAAGGGAGGAGGGCAACGGGGGAGGAGTGTGCAAAAGGGTTGCACACTTGCGGCACTTTGTGCGCTTAGTACCTCACAAAATTGCGTATAATTATATCGACGACGCATTCATATACACGTAGGATATACTCTATTTTCTGTGTTGACGTGAAGTAATTCTCGCTTGTTAAAGCTCGAGCTCCGCGGATCTCTCTCTCTCTCTCTCATTTTCCTCCGCTCTTGTCGCGTTCGCAAAATGTGTTTCAAAACAAAATCCTCCAACGTCGTGTGTGTTATAAGCCGAGATTAAAACCTACTGGCCCAGTGACGTCGAAATAAAAAATAATGAATATAATTGATTCGGTGAAATTTATATATTGATCCGCGAAAAAAACTCTAACGTGTTTGATAAACCGCGTTTCTCTCTCTCTCTTATGTTCAGCTCAAGTAAATCTATAAAAGAAAATTCGAGCGCGATTAAAGTACATAGATTTTTTCGTCGTGTTGTTTTTATTTATTTTTTTTTTTTTTACCCGCGCACATGTAAATTTCCGGAATTATTGCTGCGAAAAGATCCAAGAGAGAGAGAGTTGCGCGAGTCAACATAAAAATTATTTATTTTGCGAGCGCGCTGCATGAATTTGCCTACTGAAACGCGGAAACGAACAGTTTGAACGAAATTCTTATGATGTCTCTCTTTGAGCCTTGAAATTAATGAAAGGCAAATAACCCGTCGTTCTTTGCAAATGAGAGAGTAATATTTAATTCTCTTGGTTCTCTCGGGAGCGGGGTTCCGAACCTTCTTGCGCGTCTAAAATTCCGGTGTCAATTGAATCCGAATGGCGAAATTTGCTATTCTCTGTTTCCGCGTGATATGATAATCCATCCTTGGACTCCAGTGGTGGATTTTTATCCTCTTTAGCGAGATTGCCTGTGAGATTTCACGGATATCGAATAAATATCATGGCGAGATAAATCTGTGATCCCGTTTGTGTCAGATTTCTTCTTACAGTCAACGCGCGCGCGCGCACACATATTTTGGTATATATACGTCGTCATATTGCTTCTTTCCACTCGAATGTGAGATTTATTCAACTACGCCCCTGTAGATCGAGCATTAATGAATTTTCCAATATTTTATAGCGCCACAGGGAGAAGAGTGGTTGGGAGATCGCGCTTGTGTGTGAAAACTGATCCCTCCCCTCCCCACCCCGATATCTTTCTGTCTTCGTGCTTCACGCCTTCGTTTTTATTCGCAGTTCTCCCTCGCACGCGCGTTCGCGGCATTACATTATTTTCAAATAAAAAAAAAAAAAAAAAAAAGAAACAAATAATCACCTGCAATTTTCTATTATTAATTATAATGAGAAACACACTCGATATTTCAACCTCTCGTGTCGCGTGTACAAAAATCTACTTAATCTCTTTCGCGCAAAATTGATTCGTTATTTCTAACATTTATTAACAACAGTTGTTCTTCTCCATTTCTTTGTTTTTGCGGATATCTCTTGTGATATCTCTTTAGAAAAACGAATATTCGATAAAAACTTCCTTTTCCCTTCTATGTTACATTCTTCAGCGAAGATATTTAAGAAAGCGAATTTATCTTGCACGAAGCAGCAGTCCCTTTAATCCGCACCCGAAAAGTTCCGATTTATTCGCGGTTCCGGCACATCTTTCATGTTCCGACCGCGGCTTTTCGCGGTGTTACCCCCGTTCGAAATGCGTCGGGAATATAAGTTTTGTTTACTCGCCCCGCGCCGCAAGCGGTTTCAAATTAAAATGTCGAGGCGGGCCGCGTGGGGCCGATTTTTCTGCTCGCGGTGTGTGAAGCTATCATAAATCCCGGGATAACAGCGGTCGCTCGATAGCGTGTTGCTCCGGCGTTATGACGGTTAAAGAGAAGGGAGGAAATGAATGAGGAACGATTAGTAATCGTACCGATGCCACGATGCTGAGAGATGCATCCGCAAATAGGCGGATGATACGATCGGGGACTGTATGCGCGCGCAAATATGTCATCGCGTATCTTTTATGTCCGTGTGTGTAAAGACCATCATCACACGCGCGCCGCGCGTTATTTTCTAACGCCATGTACTTTTGCGAAGAAAATTAACAGAAATTTTTTAATATGAGATTTAATTATTTGTGAACAAAAAACAGCCGTAAAATATAATTCGAAATGGCGAAATAGACCTTCCAGCTAAGAAACCAAGGTTGAGGTGGCTTAAATAAAATCAAATTGAATCCAATACGGAGATCGGAGGAACGTTTCGATCTTTATTTCTTTAGATCATCATCAGCCTCACTGGACGGAACAAAAAATTACAAAAATTAACAAAAATATAAATATGAAAAGTATAAAAGTGAAAAAA